TTGCACCTAGGGACCTAAGGATACTACCTGAGTTAGAGATGCATAGTTGCTAACTATTGGGAGGCCGATGTTTAGCATTTGACTCGAAATCGTTCACCCCAGGGGGATGATGTGGTTGTGAATTTGCAGTGCAAATGATTCCTAACAAAAGACTGAAAGTCCGCATGGGATCTACAAAATTTCCAATAATGGGTTAAATTTTAATAGTGAGTTAGGAATAATTTGGAAACACATTTTCACTTTGAGCAACTAACTGACAGCATTCACTAAAAACAAGACAGTGAGCAACCAATTATCTGTTTCAGTAGGGTTATGCAGAATCGTTGCGGCGGGTGTAAACCTCAAGTGACGCAATGTGCGAAATCATGTTACTTAGCTGTACCCGGCCACGCGTAGCTGTGGCTCAAACTGGTTGAACGGAAAAGAAAAAAAGGTTGAAGCGCGCATTTCTAATACATTTAAAATCATATTTCTTCTGGGTATACTATACGTTTTGTTGTTCAGTTGTCTCTGTAGACATAGAAGTTGTCTGAATGGCCGAATCTAGAAAATGCTACCTATAGTTGCCCATGTGAGAAGCAGTCCGTGTCCAGATCTGTGGCCCTGAACTTCTTTCATGGTGACTACAAATGCCAATCGAACTGGTAATTGCAATCTCATAAGTAGAAATGGCACTTCCATTGGAATCATAAGAACCTTTGAAATGCTCCGTCAAGATAGTAGTTTCTATGACATTGCTCGGTAATTTTTGCTGCAAGCCGCGCTGTTGCAAACATTTGTCTGGTCGAAATTCCTCAACACGATAAACGGCACGTTGATTTTAAATCGCTTCACATGAGACGGCATACTTTGGAGATCGATTTGGATAATTAATATATCGGACGGCTTCCACGACGGTGTCCACGGACCTGTACATGACTGCCACACTTTGAATGATAGACCTAATAACATAAATATATTCGTAGACGGCTTTGTTCTTGACCGCAAGAGTAGCTCGTACATTCAACCAGTCGTGATTTCTCTAATAATTCTGCTTATTGGAATATACTCTCAATCAATTCATCTGTTGACCACATTGAAATTCGTCCTGAAGTCAGATCAGCCGGCACCTTTACTTTCCCGATTTCCAACAACTGGCACGTGTATATCTCAGCTGATCGATCGTTTTGCAGCTAAACACGCATATTTGAAGTTATCTGTAACGTCTTCACTTGTTGCCTTAAAGTAGAGTACTTCAGGCAAGCATTGGTTTCGTCTACTGGTGTCGATGGTGCTAATACGGGTATTTTTTGCCGGGAAACTAATGCAACCAATTTTAGTGCATTCCCACATGGTTTGCTTTCTCCACGCATATGCAATATTAATTGACCAAGAGCCTAGAGCGACATTTCGTGCGCATTGTTGCATTTATCCTCAACAATTAAATAGCAATTCTGCCAAATTTTCGGCATGCCGGATACCTTGGAAATGTTTCACGTGGGCTTTTCGATGAAATGTATCTTTAGGGACAATTTCAGAGCAAAATGAATGGTTCTTTCAACTGATAGCAATGTCACAGCTATTTCGACGACATAAGAGCTAAAGCTATGATATTTCGGGTTCAGATTTCTGCAAGGCTCGATCCAGTTCCTACTAACACATGTAAGAAAAAGACACATCCAATGCCGTTGTTCACATCTGGCAGTATTTGATCGTAAACGCTATTTTGCTAAATCGATAGCTCAACAATATTCGATTGCGCATAGGACAAAACATCACCCCCATTGTAATTGTATTCATGATGCAATTCTATATCGAACGGAGCAACGGCAATTTGATTTGGTGATGATGTTGCTAGTTGATTGAGTACTTTGTTTGCTAGTTTGAGGACCAAATTTTCATTGATTATCGATACTTCGCTGCAGATTTCCCCTCCTAAATCCATTGGTAATATTTAGATTTACCTTGCAAATTCGGCGAAAAATATATTCGACCATGTGGGGTTTATATTTGTCCCAAACCTCTGTTGAAGATGAAGGAGAGCGGGCCGTCAGTGTGCTTGCAAACACTTCACGATAAGAATGTTACGTGTTAAACGCGGCAATAATGCATGCATCCCAGTGTCGGTCGTTCTCTTATAAATTCAGAGCTCGAGATGCACCGCGGAAAATGGCACCTGTTACGCCGTTGACGATCCTCGATTGCTGCATGACTTTGACGTGGGCAAATGTACTAACAACATTCGAAGAATGAAGCATTCGGAGAACACAGTTTGGCGAACAAGCTCGTTTTCGGTGATTAACAATCATGCCACTACATCACAATATATTACGACAAGTCAAGGGGTTGAACCATGTATATACGTGTTCATTCATTCACCTGTTCCTGTGAAACAACTTACATCGGCCGCACGACCAGGCATTTGTCTGGACGCAACCGAGAACATCCTGCATGGTTGAACACTGGAGCAGTTAAGTCACTCACTAGCCCTGTCTCTTCACACCTTGCCAAGACTAATCACTCAGTAAACGTGGCTGGGGCCTTCCGTGCGCTGTATAGGGTTCGGGGTCGGCACTCAAGACCGGCAAAGTGTCGCATGCTAGCCATAGCTGAGACCGTCACCATCCGCCAACACAACCCCCACTATGTTCTCAAAAACAATTTGTATGTGCCATTAAGCTTCCCTGGCCCTCCATCCACCCTACAACAGGCCATAGACCAGATAAAATCTGAAAACACACGAGAAGAACAATACACATCCGGTTTTGATTTAAGCCCAGATTACAGTTGTTTCCTTCCCCTACCTCACCACCTTTCATTATTTAATTTTATCACTTCCCCCTCATCTAATTGGTTCAACCGTTTGACTTGTCGTAACATATTGTGATGTAGTCGCATGATGATGAATCACTGAAAACGAGCTTGTTCGCCAAACCGTGTTCTTCAAATGTGTTCACTGGGAATTTTCCGACAATGGAGCATTCATTTTTGATTAGGATGTACTGTGTACTGCCTGTCTGTGGCAAATTCAAATGATTTTCTATTCGCCTTTCGTGCGTAATACGCAGTCTTTCCCCACTACAGCAATGTTTTCGTAAACGCGTCAGTTTGACTCAGCATGAAGAAATCAGTTGATGTTATAGGCCGTGGATTAAGGGCTATTTGTTGCTCATTTGCAACGGTGGAATAAACATGTTGTCCGTAGTAGTGCTAAGAGAACCGCAGCTGGACTTCGATCGTACATGGGAAAAGGAAGAATTCGCCATACCGCTTCATGGCTACTTATGCACTTCCATTCTGATATTGTGCGATTCCATTGTGGCCGCTTTTATTCGCTTACTTACAAATGTACTTGATCGATTCACCGGGATTACAGTATTCCACGTTTATGTGCGCTTTGTATACTTTTGATAGAGGAGGCGAATATGAGACAACCCACCGGTGATCCTCACCGATGTCACCTTTCCGCATTTGTATGGTTGCTAATTTACCGCCACCTTCTGCTCTTTTCCTGCTGAAAGGATAATTATTGCTTCTTGTAACTGTGTTGGATATTAATGCTCGATGGTACCGCTTGGAGCATTTTCCATCGATAATGCACAGTGAATTTGGATTCAGTATTTAGCAAGGTCCGTGTATCATATTTTTTTGTCAAAACTGCATGTAAATCCTTATCGACTTCGGCATTGGGTATTTCAGAAAATTAAATTGCCAATTTCGTTTGAAGTGATTTTGGTATAGAACCAGATTAGTATGTGTGCGCTTGGCAATCCTCTCTTCTGTCATTCAGCTGAGTACCACCAAGCAGTGCATAAACCAACCCCCTAATGTTTTATCACAAAATCCATCAACAATGTCGGCTTCTTTCTGAAAACACGTGTTGTGATGTCATGCCCACCACTGGCAATTTTTCAAGAAGTAAGAGCTGTTGCGAGTCATACCAAGGTGGATTGCACGTGGATGTAATGAATATGTCTAAAATCCCTTAGTGACAAAAATACGCGGTTTCATCATGAGCACACTCATGCACAGGATGTGAACTGCCTGTTCATGAAGATGGCAAATTCGTTATTCTTTCATCCTTAGTTGTGTTTCCGTCATTGACAACTGCATCTGCAAATGGAAGTATTCTTCATAACAGAGCTTGGTCTGATTCAAGCGAATGAATAACCAACGTACTGTTTCGAGTTTTGCATATGCATCTACAATGTTTCAGTCAAACAATCGACAGCATATCAATTATTATTGTTTTTATCCTCTAGAATCTTCATTCGATATGAATAATGGTTCTTTGAGCTGCATTTTATATTTGTTTTTTCGCCACTGACCGTTTCATCTTCCTAACGTTGAAGTGATATCCATCAGCACCATCTGGAAAAATGACTGGATATTGCAGGACAAAATACCATCGATGGGTTTCGGCAACTTTTGTCAACTGATTGTTTCTCCGATGAAAAACACTATCTCTAGGTTGGAGTTGATCTCTGACTATAACAATTTCCACTTCGTCATTGGTGTAGGCATTGAATCTCCGAAAATGTTCACCAATAGGTGATTTCTCAGCATGAATAACTATCTTTTATCATATGGAATCATGTTATTTGCTGTTTTGAACAAAAGTACCTACTTGTTTTTTCCAATTGGGAAACAATTTACCTTCTTATGTCGGTAGAAATTCCACAGCGTACATTTTACTCATCAATGAAATCACCCATGAAATACATGTACAAGAATTTATGTTGACCATATGGGGAAGGAAGCAAGCATCAGGCTTAGAGATTAATTTTCCCCTCCATTTTGAAAGCTGGCATGAAATGAACTGTTGCGATTTCTTCACAAGAACAACGTCATTTGGAGCCATGAGTTGTCTTCGCTGATGCTGGGTGGGAAGTGCTTGCGGTAAAATACGGCAAGGAAAGTTTGAAATGCCTTTGGCTGTTCTCCCAGTTGAGGCGGTTTATTTTCCGAGAGGCACAGCACACTTTTTTCGTTTCTCCGCCGAATTTCAGAGCATTGCAATAATGACACTTCAGTCATGGTACCGATGGGAACGTGTCGGTTCAAACTGCATTCATCTACTGGGTTATATCAAAGTGCAAAGTGGCTGTAATAACGTGATTTCTGAGCATGGAGTCGTGTTTGACGCTGATCACCGAAATCATGTTGACGTCTTTTGGCCACTCTCAACACGTGCCGTCCATTCTATTGAAAAAGGAATCAGATCTGAAGCTGCAGAACGTGATCGCCGTGCTCGCAGCCGTGCATCCTCAAGTTTGGCCGCACGTCGTTTTACTGTTTCCTCGGCATGTATTCGAGCCATTCTTTTTCGCTTTCGCTCACTCACTGGTACCTGGTCTTCCTCATTTCGGTTTGCACTTATTCCTTGGAATGCTACTCTTCACGGCGAGCAGATGAGCATAGAAACGGAATGCGCGGAGCTGATTTGTTAGTATGATAACTTTCAAGTTCGGCGAATCTGTGTGCTTGTGTAGCAAATAATAGATGGCAGATTGGCCCGAAGTGGATTGATGTGGAGAGAACAAACGTGTGGACACGATCATGAGTGTGTGCGTGTGTAAACCAGTGCCCATGAGAGTCAGTCAGTGGGATGAACTAGTTGGTCATTGTGTGTGTAGCGTGCGTGCGTGCATCCGTGATCACGCAGCAGAAGTCGATGGTCACGCATGCGCGAGTGACTGCGAGTGAGACGAACTTATCATGGGAGCAGTGCCATTGTGAATGTGTGTGTTTGTGTGCGTGAACAGGTGCGTGCATGATGCGGCCGCGCGTGATGCAGTCGTGAGGACACTGGATCAGAGATTGTCGTTATCTGAACATTGTTGATACCAGACAACTGCGAAACGTACAGTAGGTACACAAAAACACGAACGTATCGCAATGCAACTTTGTGTAAGAATTTCAAAGAAATCGGTGGTGAACTTTCGCAGATTAGCAGCAAACAAACATTTACATTTTTCGTGCAGATGCTCTACCAGCTGAGCTACCGCGGTCCACACAGTCCCGCGTGAATAACTCAAGTGAATAATCGATGAGGCGCGAACCACTATTCCAATGATACACAGTATTTGTCCTGGTGTTAATCATTGGGCTAGCCTCGACGGTCACTTCCCAATGGGACGAACAGCACACAGATGAACGTGATCCATTGGATATTGAAATATATTCAGAGAATTTTATTGTTAGCACGAGGAGCCTGAATCGTATGTATTTGAAAATCCACTTGCATTCACATCAAAAAGTCGGACGCCGCGAGCCGATGTGAATGCAAGTGGATTTTCCATTACACACAATTCAGGCTCTTCGTGCGAACAATAAGATTCTCTGAATTTACATTTTTACTCATACAGATAATGCACAACAAACCAGGAAGGGGGGTGGGGGTCATGCGGTCAATGAAAGGCTGCTGGATGGAAAAGTCTCCGGAGGTAGTAGGAACCGAACCGGGTCGTTACTGTCAAAAATCCAAGACGAAAACCGCGTGACCATTGCTCGCAGGCGCCGCTAGAGTTGCATCTGAGTAATGCCTGATTTTTCACTCATACGTTTTTGAAGATTTTGAAACTTCCAGGCCACTTCATTCTAGCTTTGGCATGACACCCTGAGAGAGAATAGAAATCGTGCTGTCAGCCATTTGGTTATGGAACTGGTCATAAACAACGATCAAGCGCAATTCGAATGAACTTTGATGAACACCGACTACAAATAGATACTTGAGAAAATAAAACTGCAGTAAACAAATGGCTACACTGCTTTTGCCTCAAGCGATTTAGTCCAACGGTCAAATTTGTGCAGCAGAGATGTTCGTTCTAAAATAGGTCGAAGTGCACAAAAATAACGTTGAAGCATTTTTTTCAGATTGTTGCCGCCAGCACAACGCTGTTGAACCGTCATTGCCCTGATCACCTTCTGTAGGTTATCCACCACACTTCCTTCCTCAGATGTAAGATGGTATATGTGTATGTAGTATGCGCTTGGGCATGTTCCTGTGAATCCCAATTAAAACGGACAGACAGTGATGAGGTAAAGTCGGGTTAGAACAGTCTTGAGGAAACTGCAAACCCCTGGCAAGTGCGAGTATTTATGACTGGGCAAACATTTCCCTGCTGAAACGTGGTGTGCAGCAGTCGTACAGTGATTGACGCCACTGCACTACTGATATCAATAGGGTCGTCGGATGATCGCTGCACAGTGCTGATGGGAGGTGTGCCAGGAGTGTGCGAAGCCTTATTATTAGAGGGCTCACCGACTAGAGAATGACATACGTTTCCCTCTACGGTAGCGGAATCACCCTACGGGGTCCATTTTCTCTGATGGTAGAATGAAACCATAAGTAATGATCAGGACATCATCTACCACCCTCACATAATATGGGTGGTTAGAATTTGAGAACGAATAAAAGGCACATTTTGTCACAGACAATTTAGTCGATTGACCAGGGCTTATTTCTTCGCCTTTTGGTTGATAACGTCTAAAAAGGTCACGATAAGTTCACTGATGGAGACTACAATCCTTGGAGAGGTCCTAATGAAATAGCTAGTTATTTCGGTGGATATGCTGATAAATTGTTAGGCGGTTTTTGATAACATATTGAGAATCAATTATCTCTTATCTCATCAACCATTGCTCTAACCAATCATTGCACTATTGAAATGGTTTCCTCACTAACTGATTGATCGGAACTCCTATCTGGTGTTTACTTTAGGGTTCTAGTATCTGACAGGTTTTCATTGAGATGAACGAGTACGAAGAGCCACTTGCTTGGCAATACTTTTTTGCCACACTATCTGTGATATCACTGGCAAACTGAATCCCTGTATTTTCATTCCCTGCACTCTCACTGATGCAATCCTATTAAAAAAGAAAGGCAAATTGATGTAATTTATAAGGAGTCGCGCCTACTGCGCGATCCACTGGGACTGCGTACTATCGCCACAAGTCTACTGAAACTCATTGCAGTTTTCTAGGCAGCAGTCAAATACAGTGTTCCGGAAAGTCAAATCTTATCCAGATTTAAATTAACTCATATCAAACGGTAATTATCGAAGACTTCCTCAACCAGTGTATGGTGAGATTCGGTCCATTCCGAATAAAACGCCAGTGACCAGAGGTGCAGTTCTCGCGGTTACAGTGCATTACGCTGTGAATTACTAGAATTAATGCCACGCCTATTGGACGAATTCAATGGAATGATTGCCTGGCAGTTGAAAGCCCACAATGTACCTGTTAGGTTATTCAGAGAATTTCAGTTGTTTATCAAGATTCAGCAACACGGTTCAACTCCTAAGCCCGTTGAAGATTTTGAATTTGCCCATTATCTATATGCGACCCACAGTTGGTCACGTATGAATCGTATAGTTTCCAAAAAACGGGTAAAGCAGGAATGTGTGGCTACATGATTTGACATACGAGGCCTCTGTATTCACACAACAGATTCCTCGTACTGATATCGCTGCTTTAAGTTGGCTCCTGATTTGTCGTAAGATCGATTTATTTAATTTAGGGTGATTTGACTGGAGTTCGAACGCAAGACAAAGGATCATGATAACTACAGACGTTCAGCTTTCACTGACTTTGGAAGGTGAAATCTCATCACTCACACAGATCAATTTCCAGAATGAATTCCTCCATGATCTCCGATTTTTCATGTATTCACTCCTGCCGTTGAGGAACTCCCTTTATTTACTTCCTGGGAAAAACTGGGAACAATCCACAGTCGGTATTTTGATTGCACGCTATCATAAGGATTGTATGTTGGTTCATAGATATCACCAACTCAGGAAGGCATTTAAAGTTCACGATATGCTATTGAACCGACCGTGTTTATGTGGTCAAGGTGCGAAAATAGTGCACTTCGATGTACAATCCAAATACTATACTAAGCATGCCTGAAGATCTGAAGCATGGAAAAGGAAGTAAAGTCTTCCCGGAGCAAGTGATGCAATAGATCAAAAAGGTCAATAAACTCAGTACCGCGAGGACAAGGAAGATATGGTTGATGGTTTGAATGTGGTAAGAATTCTACGGTTAAAGGCCCGTTTTCCATACTCAGCAATGTTTTTCATGCGATTTATGAGCAACTTTCATCCAAGCAACACATTGTGATTATCAGCTGAGACATTCATGCAATAAGGCAAAGGGATGGTTTGAGGTCCTTAATGGTAATAACTGAAACAGCGAAAAATACTCGCTGATTCAAACTTGGAGATGCGCGTACGCTTTTTTGGAAAGGAGATCCGAATGGGGAAGAAGTTATTCTCGACTTCTGAAAGAATCATGACACTCAATTCCCATAGCAAAAAGCAATTCGAAAAAAATTCAACGATAGTGTAGAGGAAGTCTCGTGTGTGGTACTGTGGTCAAATATTTCAATACATCGAAACACCAAAGGTTTTCAAAACTGGAAGCAAGTTTTTGTGTGCAGAACAACTCCTACTGTCCGCATCTCATTTATAGTACAATATTATGCAATAAGTGAATTGTATTACTGATAGTCATTTGTTGCACCAGGACGGGTGGAACAGAAGTCACATCAACTGGAATGCTGAGTCGTATTGTAACAGGATTACTGGGGCAAAGGGACCACGTGAAGATCAACGCGAACGGACGAACCAAACGGGTGCCACAGACAAAAAAATACAGACGACGAATATGTTGGAGGAGTCTCGAAGCAGACAAAAGGAGGCAAACGGACTACCAGAGGGGAAGCAGCGGGATCTCCGGCAACCAGCAAGATAGCCCAAGTGAGGGGCTGCCGATCAAGCTGTCAACTGAGACAATCGGACCAACCGAAGAAAAATGACGCCCAGCAGAAGCAGGCTGTCGGTCACGGCAAATGGCCAGAACTTAGCTGAGCCACTGAAGCAGCCGCAACGGAAATGTCGTTACCGTGCCGTCTGGAAAGGGGTTTATTAAACGGTTGTGTGTTTCATGATTTCATTTGTCTGAGTGTTGGAATACAAGTATCCTACCCTGAATTGTCGTCCTTGTTATATTTTGCCGTGACCACGCTCACGCAGTGAAGTTTCCTTGGCCTGTTCCGTTCGCGGATCGTGATGCAGAGGATAGTGGCATGCAAGTGAGTAAAAGGTGACACACCTTTGTTGGCGGCGTTTGGGGGCATCGCTGGCTGGGCATGTCAAGGCTTTGTAGAGGAGGGAAAACAAGACCTACTTATCGGAAAGTGCGTGCTGAGCTGGTGGCAGTGTTCAAACAAGAAGTTGATTACCAGAAAGCTATAATCCGATTCAACATGGCGCAGTATGACAGTACCCAATACCCGGTTGTTCACTATCAGCACCTGTTGCGCCAACTATCGATCGGGCTGCTTCAGACAAAGGGCGTAACTAGGGTACAACTTGTTCGTGATCGTTTCGTTCAAAGCATGGCCCCGAATGTCCATCGTAGGCCGAGAATGGCAATTGCGTGAGGC